TATTATACATAAAGGTTGATATGAGTTGGAACTGACTCGAGGGCATCTAACAATGACAAGAAACTTCCAAAGAAGGAACCAAAGCCCTTGACGTGTTTGGTTGTGTATAAGCAGCCTCAGCAGCTACTCTTATTTATTTTTTGTCATTGTTGTAAATATATCACACAACATTTGCCAATTCAACTTTTTACAGGTGCACGACTTATTGGCAGCACTGACAATAATCGTCTGTGCAACCCTACCCTTAATCAGTGCCATTGTTCCATCACTGTAAACCAAAACTCAGTACTCCATAAGCAATAAACTCACTTTCCCCCTCCCTCACACCCCTGGTAACCACTAATAAACTTTGGTCTCTGTACGTTTGCCTGTTCTTGTCTTTTTACGTAAATGAGGTCATACAAAGTTTGTCCTTTTGTGATTGACTTCTTTCACTCAGCATAGTGTCTTCAAGCTCCACCCATGTTGTAGCATGTATCAAGACTTCATTTCTCTTTCTGAGTAGTATTCCATTGTATGTATGTACCACACTTTGTTTATTCATTCATCTGTTGGTGGGCATTTAGGTTGTTTCCACTTTTTGGCTATTGTGAATAGTGCTGCGGTAAACATTGGTGTACAAGTCTCTGAGTATCTGCTTTCAAGTCTTTTGGGTATATACCTAGGAGTGGAATTGCTGGGTTATATGGTAGTTCTACTATTAATTTTTTGAGGAACTGCTACACTTTTCCACAGTGGCTGTATCATTTTGCATTCCCACCGGCAATGGATAAGTGTTCCAGTTTCCCCACACCCTGACCAATATTTGTTGTTTTATTATTATTTTTTATCTTAGCCATCCTGGTGGGAGTGAAATGGTATCTCATTTTAGTTTTGATTTGCATCTCTCTGATGGCTAACGACATTGAGCATTTTTTTGTGTGTCTGGTGGTGATTTGAATGTCCTCTTTGGTGAAATGTCTATTCAAGTCCTTTGCCCATTTTAGGATTGGGTTGTCATTTTGTTGTTGTCAAAGTTTTATATATATTTTGGTTATTAGATTCTTATCAGCTATATGGTTCCTGAAGATAATCTCTCCATTGGTAGCTTGTCTTTTCAGTTTTTGGTAGTCTTTTGATGATCAAAAGTTTTAAAATTTTATGAGGTCCCATTTATCTATTTTGCCTTTGGCCGTTTGTGCTCTTGTTATTATATTAGCTAATCCATTGCTAAAAGCTAGGCCTGACAGCATTGCCTCTGCATTTTCTTCTAAGAATTCCGTGATTTCAATTTTTGCATTTAGATTCTTAATCGATTTTGCATTTGTTTTTGTGTATGATGTGAGGCATGGATTCTGTTTTATTTTTCTCATGTGGAAACCCAATTTTCCCAGCATCAATAATGGAAGACTCTTCTCTCAATGGACCATTCTTGAAAATAGAGGCCTCGACAGATGTTTTCTTCTAAGTCTCTGAAGTTGCATGTAGGGGAAAGAGTGTGAGATTTGGAGCTAAATAGGTGAGCCTTGCTGACCCTAAACATTCTGCCAGTGTGACCCTGGGCAGGTCGCCTCATCTCCCTGAGTCTCAGTTTTCCCCTCTACTAAATAGGGAAGATGACTCATGGGGTTACTATGAGAATTAAGTGAGTGGCTAGGGGTGAAGGAGCTGACTATGTGTAAGACATCAAATAATCCTCCCCACACTTTTTTTGGACACCACCTACCTTGCTGTTTCTGCCTGTGCCCAAGCACCACCTACCCCACCCCAGCCCCCGCCAGCATCCTTGCCCTGTGGGGCCTTTACCCACACTCCTGTCCTTTGCCGAGCAAAGCCTTACTTGTCTGGGTGCTCAAGTAGAGACACTCCCACCCTCCAGACCATCTCCCACATCAGTATACTCTGGAGAGCATGCCAAGAGAAGATTCTTTACTAATTTCTCAAAAACAAAAAAAGTATTCCTTTGGTAGAAAAAATTAAATATTTTCAATATGACATTGAATACATAAACATCATTTGTTAATATGAAACATTCCCCCAGGTACATTCATGAAACAGGATATTTTCACAGAAGGCAAAGTCCTTTCCAGTGGAAAGAAAGACACCGAACATCTAAGGACAATGCCACGTGGTGGGTCCCACTGAGCTAGCAGTGTGCATGGGAACTAGGGTTGGGTCAGCGCATAGAGGGATTAGAAATGATGCTCAGATAAGAACAGCTGTACCATTTGAAGGAGCTTGAGTGGCACAAGCAGTTTGCGGGGGGCTGCTAACCCGAAGGTTGGCAGTTTGAACCTACCAAGCAGCTTCACGGAAGAAAGGCCTGGTGATTTGCTGCCATAAAGATTACCACAAAGAAAATCCTAGAGAGCAATTCTACTCTGTAACACATGGGGTCACCATGAGTCAGAGGCCAACTTGACAGCAGCTAAAAACATTTCCCTAACTCAGCGACTTCCAACTCTTGCTTCACACTAGAATAACCTGGAGAATTAAAAAAACAAAACAAACAACAAACAAAAAAAACACTAAAGCTTCGGCAAGCAGCCCTCGTGGTACAGAGTTTGAGCGCTTGGACGCTAAACAAAGTGTTGATGGTTCAAATTCACCCAGTGGCTCCGCAGGGGAAAGAAATGGCAATATTCTTCCATAGAGATTACAGCCAATGTGGGGACTGTGGTCTCAGGGAATGTCTAGCTCAATGGGCATAACATAGTTTATGAAGAAAATGTTCTACATTCCATTTTGGTGAGTAGCATCTGGGGTCTTAAAAGCTTGTGAGCAGCCATCTAAGATACTCCACTGGTCTCACTCCTTCAGGAGCAAGGGAGAATGAAGAAAACTAAAGAGACAAGGGAAAGATTAGTCCAAAGGACTAATGGACCACATCCACCACGTTCTCCACCAGACTGAGTCCAGTACAACTAGATGGTGCCCAGCTATCACCACTGACTGCTCTGACAGGGATCACAACAGAGGGTCCAAGATAGAGCTGGATAAAAATGTAAAACAAAATTCTAAATCACAAAAAAAGACCAGATTTACCGGCCTGATAAAGAATGGAGAAACCCCGCGGGTATGGCCCCTGGACAGGCTTATACGTCAGTAATGAAGTCACTCTTGATGTTCACCCTTCAGTCAAAGATTAGACATGTCCATAAAACAAAATGAGACTAAACAGGCACAACAGCCCAGACGCAAGGACTAGAAGGCAGGAGGGGACAAAAAGCTGATAATAGGGAACCCAAAGTGGAGAAGGGAGAATGTTGACATGTCGTGGGGTTTATAACCAATGTCATAAAACAATATGTGTACTAACTGTTTACTGAGAAAGTAGTTTGTTCTGTAAATCTTCATCTAAAGTACAGTTAAAAAAAAAGAGTACCATCAAGAAAACCCTATGGAGCAGTTCTAGTCTGTCACATGGGCTTGCTGTGAAATTGAAGTGACTCGATGGCACCTAATAACAACAAGAAAGCCTGGACTCCACACAGGACTGTTAAATCAGAACCCCTGTGCCTTTTGAGAGGAAATCACTACCTCTCTCAGTTCCAGGGCCCCAGCCCCCCACACTGTATCTATTGCAGAGGGCCAGCTAAGCAGGGATGGACTGTCTCTCTCAGGGGAGAACTGCCCCAGCAGAAGCCACGGGAGACGAGGGGGAGGAGGCAGGAGAAGAGACAAAGAAACAAGCGACGATTTTTGGTAATTATTATTATTCTTTTTTTAATATATGACTGGAAAATGACTGTCCTACCCTCTCCTTTGCTGAGGGCGCTCTCCTCCTTAAAATCATCTCTGGTCCAAGCACATGACGCAGGATGCCAGGAGTGGGTCAATGCCAGCAGAAAAAAACGAGAAAAGTACAGTTTTTTCACACAAATCTCAAAAATTCAGGATGCTGTGTTCAGGGGATGTTGATCTGCTAGGCTGGTTCTAGAAAGAGCGCTGTGGACAGGGGCCAAGGGGCAGAATCTGGGCTGGTGTGGAAGTGGGGTGGGCAGTGAGACAGTCGAGGGGCTGGGGTTGGGTTAGGAAGGAAGGCTGCCCAGACGTGGGCAGCACAGATGTTTCCTCAAGGTGCTGAGATGATGGGAGACCAGCAGGCCCAGGGCTCTGGAGTCACCAGTTCTGGCTTTCCGATGAGATTGGCTGTCTTGTAGCTGTCCACAGAGCAGAGGGATGGGAAGGGTAGCAGGCCAAGATCTGGTACAAGGGTGAGTGTGACCCATGAGCTCAGAGTCGAGTCTCCACATCCTAGTCTTGCCATGGGGACAGGTAACTCCTGGCCTGGGCCCGGACTCAGGGCTTGCCTGCTGCCTGCCTGCCAGCTAGTGGGCCTGGATAAAGTGCTCAGAGAAGGAGAGAGAAAGGGGCAAAGTGAATACAAATCATCATAACCTAGTTGGCTGAACTGCTAGGACCACTGCCACCTGCTCAAGGTTTGAGAAGACCAAATCGGTCCTCTCAGCAGCTTCCTCAGATTCCAGACTGGAGACCATTTCTAGACTTGCCTGGCCCTCAGCTCAAAGGAAAGGATTAGGTTCCTTGCTTCAGAGCTCAGAACCAGGTGAGGGAGTTTGGCAGCTGGGGCAGCAGGGGCCCATAGATTCCTGTTCTGAGTGAAGGTGAGTAGGCTAATGCCCACCTCTCCCTCCCCACCACAGCTCCAGCTTCCTAAGTTCTCCTCAGCCTGGTCCTCAAGTTCTCACTGGTGTTTGGGACACCCAAGAAGGAGCTTCCCACTGTGCAGGAACATCTTTAGGGGGAGGGTGCTGGGTAAGGACAGTTCTAGGGCCCCTTAACTGCTCCTTTGCCCTTGTTTGCTCAAGGTCTAAAGACACGCCAGAGGATCAGGTGTGGGCAGAAGTCCAGTCACACTCCACTCGCCAGCCTCACACCTTGAAGCTTGGCTGCCATTTTCCACAGGGAGGAGCACCACCTTCTAATTGTTATGGTATCTAGGTCCTGCCTGAGAAAGTTTTGACCTTTTTCAGCACCCCAACTCTAGATCCCGCTCCCAAGATCCCTTGATCCACAGCACACTTCAAGATCCTGTGCCTAGAAGGCCTGGGCCAGCTCGGCAATGACCTGCTTGTATTTAAACAGGAGCTGACAGCCCAGCCTCTTCTTCTGGAAGATGTACTCCTCCGAGGTGTTGAGGCCGTTGATCGTGTCGGTCAGTCTCACGTTGTAGTTGTCGCACAGGCGGCAGAGCACATTGCTGAGGATCCCCTGAACGGTGTCCACCGTGGAGTTTAGCTGTCTGTGGAGGTTCTGATCTTTGGGGTTGAGGGTCTTCTGGCACTGCATGATGTCGTCCAGGGAGAGGTGAAAGTAGGCCATGACACGGTACAGCTCTACCAGCTTGTCCTTCTCAGTACTGTTGGCGTGGAAGGGTGGGAAGCTCATCAAGTCTTCGCCGCACATCTTGTCCACAGACTTGGTGAACGGCTCGCCCTGGGCCATGTGCTGAGGAGCAGAGGGCAGAGGGGAGGTGAGCAAGGAGGCAGGGATCCGTGTTTCAGCCCTGCCACTCACTCTTGCAGCAAGCTATTGGGCCTCAGTTTCCCTGCTATGGCACAGAGACCCAACACCGTGCCCTGTAGGCGTCTCGAGATGGTCATGAGAGGCAGATAGAAATCTGGGTGTGAACGCACTTGGTAAAGAATCAAGGCCACTACCATGCAAGGATTGTTATTTTTACTTGTTATTAGTATTAGGAAACCCTGGGTGGTGGAAACGGTTAATGCTCTCGGCTGCTAATTGAAAGGCTGGAGATTTGAGTTCACCCTGAGGTGCCTCAAAAGAAAGCTTTGGTGATCTACTTGCAAGAAATCAGCCATTGCAAAACCTATGGAGTACAGTTCAACTCTGACACACATGGGGTTGCTATGAGTCAGAATGGACTGGTGGCAACTAGTTTTGATTTATTTTTAATGATGGTGATCTTATGGAGAAAGAAAGAAAACTGGGGTGCCTCACCTTCAGAGGTGTGCCACACACACTTGCCCTTTCACCCACCTGGGCATCTCTCTGCCCCCAGGCACCCTCCGTCCACCATTTCGCTCAATGTCACCTCTCTGAATACCTCCCCGGCTTTTCCCTCTTTTGTGCATTTCCATCTGCCTCCAGCTCTACTGTGATGGAGGAATCCCCAAACCTGAAGTGCCAGGCCTTTTACATTCTCACCAGAGCTCTACCCTGACCTAACCCTTGGGAAGGCTATTGCTGTCTGGGCTTGGGGCAGGATGTAGGGAAAGCTAGATGGGGTTTAACCAGCCCCTCTTTTTTCCTTCCAGCTCCAAAAATTCCTCTCCCTGGCCAGCACCCCCAGCTCAGGTCAGTGCAGCCTCTACTGATATCTGTAGGAATTCTGCCCACTTCTCCCACCTCAGGCCACACCCTCCTTCCTGGGTCCCTGGAGGTGGGAGGGGATAACTTACATAGGCAACAAAGAGGGGGTTGGCACTACTGTTGAGCTGTTCCAGTTGGTTCTTGACCTGGGTCATGAGGTTGCTGGAACATGGGCGGTTCATGATGCAGGTGGCCTTGTCAGGAGTGGGGCTCCCTGCCCCAAGTTCCCAGTGCAGAACAAGCAGCAGTGACAGGATTGCTGGGAGTCGGCCAAAAGTCACCATGATCAGGATGGTGGGGACGGCAGTTCGAGGCTCAGGTCACACTGGATGCACAGCGTCTCCACCGACAGCTCTATCGCCACTGTCTCTCTGTCTCCCTCCACTCTACCTTGCTATCCCTGCTTCTCTCCACCTGCTTATATCTCCCAGCACGACAAAGCTGTTCCCACCTACCAATTGGAACCTGGCTCTAGGGTGACACACAATCATCCAATCCTTTCCCTCAATAAGGCAAAAGCCCCTTGGCCTCTTGGCCCTCTGACTTGAGGGTACCACTCCCCATCTTGATGGAAGAGGAGATGCCTATCTCTCCGTCTCCTGAGATGGCTCAGATTCCTAAGCATTTCTTCATGTGCACCTGCCTAGAGCAACCCAAATCTCTCAATCTGGGCTCTCACTGGGACCACGGAGGGTCCTTTGCTGACCCTCTTCATCCTCCCTAACATGCCACCTGTTTTTAGCTCCCCAGGCCAATTGCCCCCTGATTTTCCATCCCTTCGTCTATGTCCTTCCCCAAATACGGCCAACCTCCCTACCTTTGTTTTTGTTGTTGTTGCCAGTTGTTGCCATCGAGTCAGTTTTGAACCATGGTGACCCATGTGTGTCAGAGCAGAATTGTGCTCATAGGATTTGCAATGACTGATTTTTCAGAAGTAGATCACCAGGCCTTTCTTCCAAGGACCATCTGGGTAACCTCAAACCTCCAACCTTTTGGTTAGCAGCTGAGCACATTAACCGCTGCACCACCCAGGATCTCCCCTTCTGCCTAGTATTTGAATTTAGGGCAGAGGTGACACCGAATGTTCTCTTTCTTCTACCACAAACCCTGAGCTTCTTGGGCACAAAGCCTGACCAGGTGAGTGGACAGATGACGGAGAGAACGTGAAGATGAGTGAACATTAGCAGCATCTCTCACCAGCTGAGTGATGTCAGGATGGTCCCTTAGCCTCCCAGGGCCTCAGTTTCCTTATCTGTAAACAGAGACAGTCACCCGACCTCACCTCCACAGAGTGGCTGGGAGAAGCTAAGATGGGTGAGAAAACACCTTGTAAACTGTAAAGTGCAGGGCTGGCACAGGCTGTGAGCTTGTGTATCTGATGTGGTAACAGATGGTGTTGGGAGTCCCCCTGTCCTATTGAGCCCTCTCAAGAGCCCGGATGGAGAAGGCCCAGCTGGGGACCGGGGCTGCCCTGCCACCTCCACCACATGGACAGGAGGCCTCTCTCTCAGGTCTCCTACCAGCCTGGAATCGGGACACCTGAGGTAGAGGAGGAATCAGCTGTGAGGGTGGTCCTTCCTGCTCCCCCTTCCCAACCAGCCTGGCCTGTGGCCTTGGATCAGAGCTGTCAGGATCCTGCAGGCACAGGGAGAGAGTGGGCCTTCCCCTGCAAGAGCGTGCAGGTGTCTGGGATTCACTTGGCTTTGTCCATCTCCCCTGTGGTGGGCGGGCTGGGTCCTGCTCTTAGAGCATAATGTCTCCCTGCTCATGGGATCCTTCCAGCAACCTTGTAAAGGAGATAGACCAGTGGTCATCATTATTACTTTCGCAATTACACCGGTAAGAGAGCTGAGCTCACCCGAGAGGGACAGCTGCTCATGGTCACAGGACGGGATAGAGCAGAGCCAGGGCGAGCACCTGGGCACCCGGGCAGTGCCCCTTCCTCCTGCTGAGTGAGTGTTCTTGCCTCCTGTTTGGAGGGTGACCCAGTCACCGATTCTCAGTCCTTTGTTCTCTCTTGCCCAAGGGAGGGCAGACAACAGAACTGCTGCCCTCTCCTCAGGACCAGAGAATTTCCCAGACAGGGTGAGGGCAAGAACCCGGGGCCAGAGTGCTGGGCGGCCCTTCTGCCCCGCAGGCCCGCAGTTGGGGTCTATCATTATCCTCCCTTTCTGGCCTAGGCATTTGTTTTTTTTTCTCTAGTTTCCTAGTGAAGGTTTTTTTGCAGAACTTCAACGGTGTCTCGGATGAGTGGAGGGGACACCAAGGAAAACTGGATGTGGCTGGCCTTCACGTGGTAGGCGAATTAGTATGGCAGGTATGGCTGGTGCCCTGGGTGCCAGTTTGTTGGGGGTGGGGTGGGGCACCAATGAGCAATTTCTATTGGCTGATGCAGTTTCTATCGCCAGCTGTGAGAAATCATTCAGTAGTTTAAAACTAATTGCCATAGGCACTATTTTCCACAGATAAGATGCTGGCTGTGGGTTTAGCCAGCCAGGCAGGGAGGGGCCAAGACACTGGAACTCACCTTGGGGAAAAGGAGTCAGAAACAGCTGGGGGTCGGGCTCCAGTCCCTGCCCGGTGGCCTCTCCCTTCCCAAGCAGCTGCCTGTGCTGCTGTGGTGATCTGCATTTGG